TCCCCATACATTTCAAAGTCACTGACATCCCTTTCCCTGAAGGTGAAACCTTAGAGAAAGATTCTTAGAGAAAGATTTCTGCAAAGTTTTCTAGAGTAACTTGCCCTCCACATATGATTTATCCATAGAACATTTACTTGTAGGACTGTCTTACTGATTTGTAGAAATAAAATAAGTCAGTGGAAAGTACTGCTTGTTTTAAATGTGTAAGTAATGTTAAGAGTCAAGAGCATTGAGAGCACTCTTACTAGATGGTTTCACAGGATTTGATAAGAAGTACCTTTTATAAAAAGTCAATATGTTATAAAGTACTTGGTTTGTTTTTTGCATAGAATAAAAGTAAGATGTAAGGAAATTATAGAAAGTAAGCCAGAACCCATCTTGGGATGGTTTTGAATGACCCATAAGATGGAACCAGTAGGGAAAGCACCTTTCTTCATATCTTTCCTGTTTTCTCATTTTCTTCCTCCTCTTTCTCTCTCCTTGTCCCTTCTTTACCTTTCCTTTCCTCCCTCCCTTCTTTCTTCACATTTGAGGGAGTTACACATTTTATTGCACTGATTTGCTGATTGAAAAGAGTGAGGAGGCCACATGATTGGATGGAAGCATCACTGGAGGGCACAGTCTCTAAATTAAGAGTTGGGAAATTGTTTCTGTCATGTGGTATTTATTTTGGGCTCTGCAGGCTAGACTACAATCTCTGAAAACTACTCAACTATGCTGCTTTAGTGTGAAAACAGCAGTAGGCAACATGTAAATGAATGAGCGTGGTTATGTTCTAAGTAATACTTTGTGGATGCTAAAATTTGAATTTCATGTAATTTTTACATGTCACAAGATGTTATTTTTTTAACTGACTTTCTCAACCATTTAAATTTAAGAACAATTCTTAGCCTACAGAGCTTTTAAAAAAAGAGGTGACAGATTTGGTCCATGATCTTTGAATTGGTAACTCTTAATATATAGGGATTAATCTTGTACAGGTTAATTACCAAAATGTCATTATTAGCGTACACATTTCCCAATGTCGAGACCTTTTTATATGCTCTTAATTAGATGGGGATACGGAATTGTGTACAGGTAATTCCAGATGTCAGTGAAGTGAAGGAAGAAAAAATGCTTGATCCCACTGATAACATGGAGATTCTGGCTTGGCCTTTCAGTCTTGTCTCATCAGTCTAGCTGCTATTTCTAAGTCTTGGGGCAGAGAAGTGGATCAGATAGAGGGGCCTACTCTTAAATCTATTCTTAATGGTATTAAAGGCCCAAGGTTTGGAGTCAAACCTGGGTTCAGATCTCTTATAAAATGTGTGACTAGTTACGTAACTCCTTTGACCATAATTATAGACTTTTAGGATGGTAGTAACAATTATAACAGTAACGGTGGCTAACACATTGTGCTTACTGTGTGCTATGCAGCGTTCTAAGGACTTTTTATATATATATATATAGAGTAACTCATTCAGTTCTCTCACAGCCACAATAATCCTGTATACCATCATTTTTAAGATGAGGAAACTGAGACACAGGAGGTTTAAGTAAACTTATTCAGGGTCACATAGTTATTAAGTGGCAGAGCCAGCATGTGAACTTGGACAGTCTGGCCTGAGTGTGAGCTTTTAACTTACAGGGTTTACTATCTTCCAAAGTGAGAGTATCTGTAAAATGCCTGACATGTAGGTCTTCAAAAAATAGGTATGTTTACTTTGCTGAATAGAGTGCTACCTGTTCCTCAAGAAGCTTGTGCTCTTGTGTGATGCCAGATATTCCATAAATATGAGATTCAAATTATGGTTTTTCAGAATGCATTTTACTTTTTTTAGTTCCATACTATTTATGGGATTTTTTTTCCATAAAAGTTTTTTAGTACTACTATTGTTAAGAATTGGAATTGAAATGTATCACCTTCTGTAAGACAGTATAGTAGCCTTAGACTCTGAAGCTGGAAGGCCTCTGGACTCCTGATTTTATCCAAGTTCTGCAGTTACGTTTATGTGACCTCGGATACATGATTTGACTCTGTGTCCCTTTTTGGCTGTAAACTAACAATAATCCTCAGAGTTATGGAACTCAGATGAGATAACCTATGTCATAGTGCCTAGCAGTGTGTCCAGTATGTTACCAGCTATTCAATAAATGCTTGTACTATATAGCTTGTATATAAATGCTTTGCTTTCAATAAATGCTTTGCTCATCTCCCTGACAGATTTAGAACTGAAACGAGCCTTAAAGATTGGAAACTGAGGCTCGATAGTACAGCTACTTTGAGACTTAAAGCCAGTTTTCTGATTTCTCAGTCTTGTTCTGTTTTTAGTGTTCACACTTGTTTATGCATTGCATTCAAAAGCATTAATGTATATGACTTTTTTTTTAAAGGACAAAACCTGACATTCTTATTAAAAGTAGCTAAATTATTTTTGGTATTTTGAACTTTGAAACTAATCTTCAAAAAATCATATTGATAATTTAGTAAGCCTGGAAGCCATTCAAATCATATATATGAAGTTTTAAAACCACTAACATTTCCCCATTCATATTCATTAATTTTAAATAAGTACTGTTAGAGAAAAAATAACTTACAAGCAACATGATAGAATAATTTTAAAAACCCATCCCATCACATTCAGAGAAATGGCTATTAACACTTTCAAATAAAAATGGCTAATTATGACAGTACTTTGTGACTGACTTTAACAATTGATCAATTAATGATCTATGCTAAATTCAGATCTTGATAATTTTTATTTATTCCATTGTGTGGATGGTTATCAGTTCCTTTTAGTAATCTACTATTTTTTATGGTATGTCAGTTTTTTCCCAGGCTTTATAGAAACATCATATTTTGCAAAGCTGTCCTATATCACCAAAAATGGGATCTTTGGTTCATATGGTTGATCCTCATATTCACTTTTAAGACTTTCGATGCATGTTAATAATTTACTTCCAGAAAGAAAATGCATATTTATTTACATTCTCACTAGGGAAAGCTGTTGCATTTTTGAAGAAGCAGCAAAGTGTGGCATAAATCTTACAGATCCTTTACTTCTCTTTACATGTTGTCACTTTAATATTTTGCACAGTGATATATTTGGAATAATATATTTTAATTTTCAGGAGTGGAATTATTTATAACTGCATATAATAAGATATCTCAAGTCATGTTCATGCAGTTTTTAAGAGCATTTTGTGGGTTTTTCTTTTTTCCTCTGTTTGCATGTAGTGAGTGGTAAATTTGCATGGAACTTCTGAAAAACAGAGCGGCAGAATGAATTGAATGTGTTTATTACTGTTTGTCACTTACCTTGATAGTTTAGAGACAAAGTCCTACTTTTGAGACAAAATTGAACTTACTGATGTGTCCCTTATTTGTCTTCTTGTGAGTTCTGTTTCTCATGATTAACAAGATGTATCTCACAATTAACAAGATGTAAACTCTAATACTGTTTGCCATTTAGTCCTTCATGTTTGTGAGATTAATTATAAGAACATCTTAAGAATTAAATTAGGTAAATTATTTTTTCTAGTTATGATTATTTGATGTTTTTATTCCTACATGTGTATTTGGAACCAAAAGGAATAGCTATGAATTATGATTTTTTTTAAATCCAGTAGACTACTCAAAGTTATGTTCTTCTTATAACATCAATAGTAGTAGAAGTATATAGATCTTAAGATTTGAATAAACAGTAAAGATAGAAATCTAGTCCAGCTTCTTACTTGATGAAATAACCCCTTCTTCAGTATTCTTGCTGGGCTTCCCTGGGTGGCTCAAATGGTAAAGAGTCTGCCTGTAATACAGGAGACCCGGGTTAAATCCCTAGATCGGAAACATCCCCTGGAGAAGGAATTGGCAGCCCACTCCAGTTTTCTTGCCTGGAGAATTCCATGGACAGAGGAGCCTGGTGGGCTACAGTCTCAGTTCAGTTCAGTTCAGTTGCCCAGTCGGGTCCAACTCTTGGTGACTCCATGGACGGCAGCATGCCAGGCCTCCCTGTCCATCACCAATTCCCGGAGCTTGCTCAAACTCATGTCTCTCGAGTCGGTGATGCCATCCAACCATCTCATCCTCTGTTGTCCCCTTCTCCTCCTGCCTTCAGTCTTTCCAAGCATCAGGGTCTTTTCCAATGAGTCGGTTCTGCAGCCTGCAACGAGTCTATGAGTTGCAAAGAGTCGGACATGACTAAGGGACTAACACTTTCGCTTTCACTGACCTTGCTAGGTCTTCTGGAACAGCAGTAATGAAACATTAATTCACATACATTAAGCTCACAAAGTAAGAGGGATATAAGATTTTGCTCTAAAGAGAATTTAAAATATTCAGTATTCCCATGGTGTTGTGTTAATGAGGTATTAATAGTATTAATGGTACCATGGTATTGAGGAAGGTTTAATGACACCTTTTGGGTTCAGGGTAGTATGTTTTGAGCCACTTTCTTGCAATATAATACAAGCTTTGAGTATTTTATTTATAAATATCTTTTAAAATTCTTCATATAGTGAAGGAGGGGCACTTTTTTGTTCCACATAGAAGTTCTGTGTTAATCAATCTTGTTATCAATCAAGTATTTACAGACTGTTGAAACAAAATGGGGATTATATAAAAGAAAGCTGGAATGGTACTTTAGACTCTTCATTTTCTTAGTGTTAATTTTAATGTGATAAAATACTAAACCTCTTAGCCACAAAACTTTTCAGCTGTTGTGCTAAACAATTAAAACACATCAAACAAACTCTACTCACCATACCAAAGGAAAGCACATTCTATGAAAACAGTATTTTGACAAACATTGGTATTCATAGGTCTTAGGAAATAGCTATCAAATATTTCTCCAGTTAAAGGTTTTGTGTAAGTAGTACATCTCTATTTTCTATACTTCATCTTAATATGCAAGTTTATTACTTCAGTGCTTGACTAACTTTTGCCTTGCTGATGATCTGTTGAGCTTTGTACCTGAGAGCTGTACTAATCACTGTGCTTATTGTTTGAATGTCTGGTACAGGAAGCGAGCAGCTGCAAAACATCTAATAGAACGCTACTACCACCAGTTAACTGAGGGCTGTGGAAATGAGGCCTGCACGAATGAGTTTTGTGCTTCCTGTCCAACTTTTCGTCGTATGGATAACAATGCAGCAGCTATTAAAGCCCTCGAGCTTTATAAGATTAATGCAAAACTCTGTGATCCTCATCCCTCCAAGAAAGGAGCAAGCTCAGCTTACCTTGAAAACTCTAAAGGTGCCTCTAACAACTGCTCTGACATAAAAATGAACAAGAAGGACGGGCAAGGAGCAAGAGATGATTTTAAAGGTAAGTTGTTCTATTTTTAATTGAGAATTTTTTAATGAAAACCAGATTAGAGATTTTCAAGATGTGTGAGATGTTGCTGTTGTCGTTTGCTTAGGACATGTTTATAGTGAAGTGAAGTCGCTCAGTCGTGTCCGACTCTTTGTGACCCCATGGACTGTAGCCTACCACGTTCCCCCATCCATGGGATTTTCCAGGCAAGAATACTGGAGTGGGTTGCCATTTCCTTCTCCACGAAATCTTCCCGACCCAGGGATCGAACCCCAGTCTCCCGCATTGTAGGCAGACACTTTACCGTCTGAGCCACCAGGGAAGCTCATGTTTGTAGTGGAATTGATTTTTATGTGGAAAAGGGCAGAACTAAATAATAATTGAGTTAATGATTTAGCTCTTTCACTATTCTTATGGTCTTCTAATTAGAAGCAGATTATATTTCCAAAGTATATTATATATTTTTTTAGAATTATATTTCCAAATTCCTTTCTTAATGGATTGATTAGAAATATTAAATGTTTTCCACTAGGAAAAATGTGTTACGTAGTATTGAATCACATAAACTGGGCCATGAAGTCAGTTAGCTATTAGAATAGCTGGCCTAAGTATCTGGAATGTGTTTTGGAACCTGAGCACTATATAGCAGACGGAGCAGAAAGAGGAATTTCTATTTCTGAAGACACTGTAAATGTTGTAGTAGTTACCTGAAGAATAATGTTTTTCCTTCTAATTTATTCTTTCCATATCATGCTTACCTTCTCCCAGGCATTTAGCACACTCATACTGCCAAGAATCATTACCTAACAATGGTAGACTCCACCGAAGCCTTACTTTGCTGTCTAAATAATCCTGTATTCCAAAACTGTTGATTTTTTTTTCTTTTAATCACCTAAGCTTTCTTTCTCCCAGTGAAGGCAAATCAGTATTAGAAGCAAGCTAATTGAATTTCTGAATGAATGACAGCTCTGCCCAGAGGTAATTCTGTTTTAAAAGAGGAAGCTTTTTGTTTAGGATGTATATAAGTTAAATCTCTCTATAAAGTTTTCAGTAACGTCATTTGAATCAAGTTTAAATTAATTAGTGAAATGTAGTTGTGTTACAACTTCTACTTGTTTCCACAATAAAGCAGTTCTTATAACTTTATACAACTTTATTGTGTGAATATTTCTATTCTATGAATTAGCACACACCATAGATAAATAAGGGAACGTTGTTAATATGTATAATGTAAAAGTAGGACTTCCCACATAGCTTAGTCAGTAAAGAATCTGCCTGCAATGCAGGAGACCTGGATTTGATTCCTGGGTGGGGAAGATGCCCTGGAGAAGGAAATGGCTACCCACTCCAGTATTCTCGCCTGGAGAATCCCATGAACAGAGCAGCCTGGCGGGTCTGTGGGGTTGCAAGAGTCAGACATGACTGAGCGACTGAACCACCACCACATTATGTGCGTTTTCCCAGTAAGTGTGTGTCACGAGAACAACAGTTCCTATGAATGTAGGGTGTGCGGTCACAATTGAATGCAACAAGCCATTGGGGGTTATAATACAGGATGGGTGTACCCATCTTCTTTTTGGCTGTGTGCTTTATCTTAGAGGTACTTACTGAGTACCTCTTCCCAGTCTTCCTGTACTGTTTAAGCTCAAATCTGTATAATTTAGCAGTTTGTTCTTCCAGTCTGCAACACTCTTCTTCCCATCCCCTTTTTCTGGCAACATTTGTATTTACTATCATATGTTTCTACTAGGAATTATGAATGCATCAACACCACTAGTATTTTTGAGTGTTAATTATATTTGCTGGCTCTAATTTCAGTTTGGGGTATTGAGTAGTCTACCCTAAACTCTGATTTTGCATGAGAATTTAAGTATATAATGGTATAGATTAAGAGTATTATTCAAATATACATATCATAAAATATATATGTATATCATACAAAAATGTCTCAATTATTGTTTTCTCAGTAAAATGCCTCATTTTATTGATACCCAAATGTTATGAATGTTTTATATCTCAAAATGCAGTGTCTTTTTAACTAATTTATTCTTATGTCTGAAAGATTCAGCATAACATTTTAAGCAAAACACTATGTGGATAAAATATTGGTACTTTTTATGCAGAATTAGTAGAATGTCAGAAACACTTGAAAATGTTCTGAAGGGTGTGACATGTCAACAAAAGGGTATGTGGGTCTAGAACTTTGCTGTCCATAACATAAGCCATGTTTATGGCATGCAAAGTGTTAACAACTTTATGATTTGATGATTAGGAAGCACAGTGTCCTATGTCCTAACTGGATAGTTATTTATAATAGCTACTTACCATGTATTGGTTGCATACTAAGAAATTAGGATTTTTTTGCATTATCTTAAAAGAACATGTTGTAATTTTTTTCCCAATTAAAATAATGGGAAATACACTCCAGTTAGCAGTTTCACACTTTCCAGGAGAAGATTGTTGAAGTTTAGAAGAAGATGCCTATGTGTTTTTAATAGAACAAACCTAAGCATTTGTTCTTAAAGAGTTGTGGCTGTAAAAGAATGTGTTGCCAGTCTGGTATTAAGGATCAAAGATTAGATTTGTGGTGTGATAAAATCTGGTATTTTGATGGTTCAGCATTTGGAAGCTGTTCATTCACTAATCATTTGCATTTTAAAATGTCTTTTACTCTAAAGTAAATATAAAAGTAGAGGTAAAATCATATTAAGAAATTTTATACGTTGTACAGTACAAGGGTCCATTTGTCATAATGACAATAATTAGCTGCATGACTACAATTATCCTCTGTGTAAGTATTTGATGACAAAGCTGTCATTCTTTTGATTAAAGGGATAGATTAAGATTTTTATTAATAACATTGTTTTACCAATATATCTTCTTAAAGTTAATAAACAAAATATGTCACTTGTTCTCTTTCCTATAAACATATCTGAGTATTCAAAATCACAAAAACTATTTGGAGTGCTCCATTTTTACTAGCCAATATGAAAAGTGGTCTTGAAATGTTCCCCGGTGGTGCAATGGTAGAGTATCTGCGTGCCAATGCAGAAAACATAGGAGACATGGGTTGGATCCCTGGGTCAGAAGATCCCCTGCAGTAGGAAATGGCGATCCATTCCAGTATTCCTGCCTGGAAAGTTTCATGGACAGAGGAGCCTGATGGGCTACTGTCCATGGGTCCCAAAGAATTGGACACAACTGATCACAGCACATTTTTTTTTTAATTTGTTAAAGAACAGTTTTATGATGTTACCTCTATAGTCTTTGTTTTCATAATTTGAAATGGTGATACTAGTTAGCTTATTTTATCTACTGATAAATAAATGATTTTTTTTTTCTACTCAAAATATGAATTAGTCATGTTTGCCTCATTTATCAGGAAAGCAAACCCTCAGAAGTCTACCGATAGACTTCCACTTAGGTCTGCAGACCTGTTTCATAAATCGGTCCCGCAAGTGCAAGTGAGAAGTGGAATACTAGTGTTTAGTGTTTGCAGTTTCTTCCATAATGGCATGTCCTGATAAAGACTGGTGAATGAATTTGGAGTTAGCCGGCATAAAGTGTCTGCCCAGATGTATTAGAGACCTGGAGGGGAGAGAGCAGTTTCAGAGGATCACGTTCAGACACGAGTGACTTGAGTCCTTCCTTTGGAGTTAAGAGGGAGTTACAGGAGAAAATGTGAGTCAGTACAGCCATGCACACTAAACTGATATGGCTCAGGACACAAGAGTCTCGGGGTATTAGCCAGCATTAAACACAGGCCTTCTTCTGTTAGTGTAGAATGAGATATTGTGTTTGGTCATTAAATATTTCATATCCTTTTAGTAATTGGTTAATCTTACCTGTCAAACATTTGAGTACTTCGAGTAATGCCAGACATGTTTGATAATAATTAAGGATCAGAATACACACACACAAATACATGGAACTTTCAGATTTTTTAATTATCTTTGCCCAGAGTATTTATTCTTCTCTTTGCAATTGATTTGCAAAGTGAAATTTGGTTTTCTACTGTTTTAAAGACTATTTTCACTCATTCCTTTTATTTAAGGTAGTTATTTGACCATAGCATTGAAACACTTTTGCTTATGTACTTTCATTTAAAATACATTTATTATTGTATCCCATAATTTGTTGTTATTGAAGTATTATTTTATTGAAGTACTTATAATATGCAATAAATTGTTGACTGTTAAAACATTTTCTTTTATACTTTGGGGCTTTACCAGTGGCACAGTAGCAAAGAATCTGCCTGCCAGTGCAGGGTTCGATCGCGGGGTCAGGGAGAACTTCTGGAGTAGGAAATGGCAAACCACTCCAGTTTTCTTGCCTGGAAAATTCCATGGACAGAGGCCGATGGCCTATAGCCCATGGGATCGTAGAGTCAGACATGACTGAGCACACACTATCTGATACAAATGCAAGTCATAACAGAAAAAGTACTGCTACTGAGGTATATTTCTCAGCTTTGGTAGTGAAAATTTGTAATTATATAGGTTTATTTCAGATAATAGGATGGGTTTTTCCGAGTTTTTTTTTAGTTGATAATTGATCATGGAATGAGTGAATTTTAGTTAATTTTAAAGTTGTTAGTTTTTTTTTTCTTAGTTGAATTTCATGGGAGTTTTATGATATATGAGGTGTTAAGTCAGCACACTGCATATTGTATGATGTTCCCAAGCATTGGAGTTTACTACTTTTTGAGTTTGAATGTTTTACATTGTTTTCCTCAGTACCTTCTTTGAAAAGGTCAAACACTATAAAAACTCAGATTAAGTTGCACAAAATAAATCAACATTTGAGTAAGATGAGAACTCGGAGTTTTAGAAAATCATGTGTTAAGATTCATTTTTGTGTGTGGGTTTGTATTTTTTTCTTGTGTAAGAAAAGTGTGCGAGAAGGAACACATGGAGATTTTCTTTTTCTAATGTGTCTCAGGCAGTGGCACTCCTCTTAAGTACTCATGCATTCCATAACTTCCATACTTAACTCTGTTCCTCTCAAGGGAATATACATATAGATTTAAATTTTGTCCTTAAGATAATGAGAGTCATAGGGTTGTCTGGTTTTTCTGAAAGACGATAATGGCAGATATAAAAAGTCTAATAGCAAAAGCTGAGAAGTAGGCCTAAGCCACATTATTTTTTTTTTCCATTTATTTTTATTAGTTGGAGGCTAATTACTTTACAACATTGCAGTGGTTTTTGTCATACATTGAAATGAATTAGCCATGGATTTACATGTATTCCCCATCCCGGTCCCCCCTCCCACCTCCCTCTCCACCCGATCCCTCTGGGTCTTCCCAGTGCACCAGGCCCGAGCACTTGTCTCATGCATCCAACCTGGGCTGGTGATCTGTTTCACCCTAGATATACATGTTTCGATGCTGTTCTCTTGAAACATCCCACCCTCGCCTTCTCCCACAGAGTCCACAAGACAGATACCAGAGGGAAGTAAAATGAATTCCAGCAAACTGCAACAAACTTTTTCATGTCTGTAACAATCCATTGCTCCAGATATTTTTATCTCAAAAAATCCTTGAAGTGTTCTCTCCTTTTTTATTTCTTCCTTGATTTCATTAGAATTTCACCTTGTTAGCATTATTGTAACTCTGAAAATGTGTAGTAAGTTGATTTCAGTCTGGCCTTTCATGACCTCCTGTCATTTTTGCCTTAGGATATTATTTCTTTATAGGGAAGAATGGATATAATAGAAAATCTTAATAAACTCCCATGGATTTAAATATTACAAGCTGAAAAAACAGTGGTAACATCAGTTTAGGGGAGATGATCATTACTTGTATTTTGAACACTCTGAAGTCACGGTGGGGCAAGTGAAAGGCTTCTTGTAAGGATCAGCTAGACTGCAATACTAAGTAGACTCCAGAAAGAATGCTATCTTATTACAAACAGTGGAAATTTATTTCTAGCTCGTCCAACAACCATAATATCCTGGATTGGCAGAGCTCTGTTTCACACAGTCATTCAGAGATGGAGCTTTACTGGCAGCTGTTATCCTCAGCACGATTCTCAGGGCCATCCTAGGAGTTTCATCCCATTAGCCAGAAGGAGAAAAGTCTTGGCCTGAAAGTAGCACTTATCTCAGAAAGCTGGAAAGGAGAATGTGTCCAACTCTGTACCCAGAAAGGAGAGGAAGTAAATTTTGGTGACTACTAGTGGTATGTTTTGGAGAAGGAAATGGCAACCCACTCCAGTATTCTTGCCTGGAGAATCCTGTGGACGTAGGAGCCTGGTGGGCTGCTTGCTGCCCATGGGGTTGCACAGAGTCGGACATGGCTGAGCGATTTAGCAGCAGCCGCAGCGTTTCTCTTGTCTGCTTGTAAGTTGCCTTCTTCCCACTCTGTTTTTTAATTACTCTGTAACTATTTACTGTTCCTGCGTAAGATTTATTCCAGCCTATTACTTGGCTGCATATGGCAGTATCTGTCAACTTCAGAGTGTATGGTTAGTGATATATTAATTCTTCTCTGTCACCCACAGAATGGTCACCCTGGGGAAAAAAAAAAAAAAACAAAACTATAAAGGAAGACTCAGAAAGGAACTGGTTTGGTTTTAGGACATGGGCTGTTTCCAAAAGAAGACTCTGAAGAAACCTTTCTGAAAACATTGCCTCAGTCCTAGTCTTTTTGAAAACAGTAGTGAAATGAGAAACCTCTCAGAAATACACTATTGTTTCTGGTCTACAGTGAGGAATGTGATGAGTCAGTACATGATATCCTTGATTCATATTTACAGTTAATGGTGCATATTAATATATGCCATCATTGTGAAAAGAGTTTGAGCTCATTAAAAGCTGTGTATATAGAATACAAAAGAATGAGTAAGGTTGTACTCCTGTTACTAGTACATTGGAAAAAAAAAGATAAGCATGTTTTGTTTATTGAAACAAGATACTTTTTAAAAGTTGTAAATCACAAGTGGTATTTAGTGTAAAATATTTGGCTATTTTGTTTTTCACTAGAATTTATTAAAGCAAACATGTATATATGTTATGAAAATAAGTGTTCTCTCTTCTGATTTTCTAGATGTGACTTACCTAACCGAAGAGATGGTGTATGAAATTCTTGAATTATGTAGAGAGAGAGAGGATTATTCCCCTTTAATTCGTGTTATTGGAAGAGTTTTTTCTAGTGCTGAAGCATTGGTACAAAGCTTTCGGAAAGTCAAACAACACACCAAGGAAGAACTGAAATCTCTTCAAGGAAAGGATGAAGATAAAGATGAAGACGAAAAGGAAAAGGCTGCATGTTCCGCAGCAGCTATGGAGGAGGATTCAGAAGCATCTTCCTCAAGGATAAGTGACAGCTCACAAGGAGATAACAACTTACAAAAGTTAGGCCCTGATGATGTGTCTGTGGATATTGAGGCTATTAGAAGGGTCTACACCAGATTGCTCTCTAATGAGAAAATAGAAACTGCTTTTCTCAATGCACTTGTGTATTTGTCACCTAATGTGGAATGTGATTTGACGTATCACAATGTATACTCCCGAGATCCTAATTATCTGAATTTATTCATTATTGTCATGGAGAATAGAAATCTCCACAGTCCTGAATATCTGGAAATGGCTTTGCCACTATTTTGCAAAGCAATGAGTAAGCTACCCCTTGCAGCTCAAGGAAAACTGGTCAGACTGTGGTCTAAATACAGTGCAGACCAGATTCGGAGAATGATGGAAACATTTCAGCAGCTTATTACATACAAAGTCATAAGCACTGACTTTAACAATCGAAATTTAGTAAACGATGATGATGCTATTGTTGCTGCTTCCAAGTGCTTGAAAATGGTTTACTATGCAAATGTAGTAGGAGGGGAGGTAGACACAAATCATAATGAAGAAGATGATGAAGAGCCCCTTCCTGAGTCCAGTGAATTGACACTTCAGGAGTTATTGGGAGAAGAAAGAAGAAACAAGAAAGGTCCTCGAGTGGACCCACTGGAAACTGAACTTGCTGTTAAAACTCTGGATTGTCGAAAACCACTTATCCCTTTTGAAGAGTTTATTAATGAACCACTGAATGATGTTCTAGAAATGGATAAAGATTATACTTTTTTCAAAGTAGAAACAGAGAACAAGTTCTCTTTTATGACATGTCCCTTTATACTGAATGCTGTCACAAAGAATTTGGGATTATATTATGACAATAGAATTCGCATGTACAGTGAACGAAGAATTACTGTTCTCTACAGCTTAGTTCAAGGACAGCAGTTGAATCCATATTTGAGACTCAAAGTCAGACGTGACCATATCATAGATGATGCACTTGTCCGGGTAAGTCGGGCTACTGTTTCAAAATTAGTACTAGATCCAGTACCTAATGATGGGCATGCTGTGATACAATTCAGTGAATTAATTTTATAAGCGACTTTTTGGGGAGGTGGGTGAATGTATATGATACTATATAGTATAGGAACACATTGACTTTTTTTTTTATTGTAAGTACTATACTTTTGTTGTTGCCCTGTCCAAGTTTATAAATGTTCCACAAAATATTGATTGTCTTGTATCATGGTAACTCTCTCTTTGAAAAAGAATAAATTTTCTAAATCTTGACAACTAACCCCCGAAGTTTTTTCATTCAGAAGAGAAGTGGATGTTCTAGAGCACAGAACAAGGGGACTTGAGAGATACCTGATAATAAGTATGAATGTCAAGTCTTAATGGGGAGAAGTGGTAGGATAATACCACACCATGAAATATAAGTGGTGTCTAAAAATCTCATGGTGTAAAATATGTGAGGTAGATGAGGTGACCCGGGCAGGTTGGAGCATGCTGCTCGTGGGCGTTCCTGCTGGGTTGCCCTGAATATCCCTGTGAGGCACTGCTGGGTGTGAGAGTTTCTTCCCACTTCAACATGCATACGGACTATGCAGGGCCTTAGACAACTGTTCCAGGAATCTTATAATTAATGGTGCCTGTATCATCATTCCAATCTAGGGAGATTAAACTGGGAGAATACTAAGCATACATGTACCCTCTTTCAGATAATGTTGCTTTTTGTTCATTCTTTACCTCCACAGAAAGTAAAAATTTAGTGTCCTCATTTAAGAATATAAGGCTGACTAGAAGACAGAATCCAGTTGCCAATCACATGTACCAACATTTACATTTGTCAGAGGGTTCTTTATCACAGAGTATTGTTGTATTTATATTATTAGGTATACCTGGCATTGCTAGCTGTATTTTATCAACTTCAAGTAAAATTTAATGGCAACTAAAATTAAGATATAGTCAATCTTATATACTAATAAAGGAAAAGAGCCCATAGCACAGATAACTATAAAGCAGTGATACTTATTTCAAAATGTACTTTAGTTTTAGAATTAGATTTGTTTAAAACTGAGAATTTATAAAACTAAATCAGTGGGGAAAGTTGTTGGACATCTTGGAAATTTAAAAGATGCAGAATTCTGTACTTCTCTGTTACTGTGTGTGTGTTTAATACCAAATATATTTCTAGTGTTGGAAGATTCTACATTATTTAAGAAACTCAGGCAGTTTTTTACCAGAGACAGGAAGGGGCAATAGTTGCTTGAAGTAATTACCATTGCTGCTTTCTGGTGCCCTTTTCATTTTATTTTAGTGGTTTTGAGCTACACGAATAATAACGTACTATACTTAATACCTGATCTTCAGGCACTCAATAACTGATTTTCTATAGTTTAGCAGAATGGTGGGATATTGTATAAGGAAGTGATGATGCTTTATAGAAAGCATGTTGAGGTCTGTCTGTGAATTTCCATTGTTGGAACAGAAGAGCAAATCCTAAACTACATGTTTTATCTTTGTCTTCTTGGGGTTTGGGATCGATTCTTTCATCTGCTTCCAGCAAAAGCTATACCTGACCTTTAAGAGCAATGAGATTAACTCTGTAAGACTCAATCCAGAGTTTTAAAAAATTGTCTGCCTTACTAACTGCCTTTCTGAGAGCCTTACTAAACTCTCTCTCTGCCCCTGTCCCATTCCCCTGATACCCCAGTAAAGCAAGATTAAGGACCTACAAAAGTTTAGGTGCTTAGTATAATTATTTTATTCTATTTTAAAAATTAACCTCCAGAATTTTGAGCAAATAATCGTTTTGGTTTATAAGGACTTCCTTTGAGCAAGTGTTAGAGTAAAGTTAACTGTGAGCTTTTAAATTATGCTAACATATTGGTTTTTTTTCCCCCATATGTTTGGCTTATTATATCAAAGCTAATTAGTGTTCACTGGGTAACATCTGTACTTGAATATTACCATTTCAGAAACCCTTTCTGTGAGGCACTTTGCTAAGCAGTGAAGATGAATCATGACTGCTGAGGAGCTTAGGAGCACACATTAAACAGATTTTAGTCTCATTTTCTTCCGCTCTTCACTTCTCTCCCTTCCTTCTTTCCATCTTTCATAACAGTGTGAAAAGATTTTTTTAAAGCATCAAAGTAGATCATGGAAGTCAAATTGATAATCTGCAGATGTTGAGGGAACGTTCATAGCAGGTGATGTAATACAAGTAGTGTAAGGTGATCCTCTCAGGGTACACTGTAGAAAGTGCTGATGGATTTTCAACATCTTGTTCCCCAAAGACCTACTTTGCCTTTTTTAAGCCTCATCTTTTTATATCACAATTTGATAAGCAAAATAAACCTATTGACCACTATCTTGTGTGCATGCATGCTAAGTTGCTTCAGTTGTGTCTGACTCTGTGTGCCCCTGTGGACTGTAGCCCACCAGGCTCCTCTGTCCATGGGATTCTCCAGGCTAGAATACTGGAGTGGGCTGCCATGCCCTCCGGGGGATCCTTCTGACCCAGGAATCGAACCCGTGTCTCTTATGTCTCCTGCGTTGGTAGGAGACACTTTACCACTACTAGCACCACCTTGGAAGCCCAACCACTTTGTTACGACCTGCTAATTTTGAACTACAGAGTACCGCCAGGAAAAGAAGAAGAGATGAGAAACTTTGTGGTGGGTTCAATATTCATAATTAAATAATTAAGGTTATAAGGTCTTAGACTTTGAAGAGCTAAAAGAAGCCTTAAAACCTGTCTACTCATTAGTTTATAAACGAGGCCTGGAAATTAGTTACTACATATATGGCACTTATTATGTTTTCTGTTGGATCTTATTTGTCAGTTATTAATTGTAAGACTGACTTACTTGAAAGGAGGGGTAGTAACTTCACTTACTGATTACAGACTTTTTATTTTAAAAGAAAAATAGTATTCAGTGGTTTCATGTACTGTGTAATTCAAAGAAGAGTAGCAGATTGTTCCTTAACTGGAGTTTTTGGAGCAACATTCTTGATGACAATAGGAGTATTATTAGTGTTTACAGTATTTTTATCAAACTTAACATATAATTCACTGGTTGTAGGGCACACTGTTATTACCATTAAAAAGAAAAAATGCTGCCAGTTTAGTTTTGAGATGCTATCAATTTTATGTTATATTCTGATTTCAGATACATAAAAGTATAAAAATAGAAAAGCAGATTTTAAGAATCAATGAAATATGATAATGTATCAGTAGTCTTTCCACAAATAGATATCAGGATTGTTTAAGAACTACCCCTACACCCTTAAATTAGTGGAATATTTCTCCCTGGAACTTATTTTTGCTATTTTTTGTTGTTCTTTAGGAAAGAGTACAGTGATGATGTTATTTAGTTGCCAAGTCATGTCTAGCTCTTCTGGGACCCCATGGACTGTAGCCCACCAGGTTCCGCAGTCCATGGGATTTCCCAGACAAGAATGGAGTGGGTTATTATTTCCTTCTCCAGGGCATCTACCCAACCCGTGATAGAACCCAACATCTCCTGCATTGCAGGCAGATTCTTTACCACTGGGCCACCAGGGAAGTCCCAGTACAGTGAAAAATAGGCTTAGAACTCAGCTTTCAATTTGAATGAGAACAGTTCTAATGTGGCGAGGTTATTTACAGTATTTTGCTAATACATTTACCTATTTGTATGCTCTTTTAAGTTATCTTTTAGGTAATTTGTCATTTTTTATTAGACAAAGCATCTCCAAGGGAAGAGGATGTTAAAAAATTTTTTTCATTACCTTTCATGTTAGGAGATTGAATGAGGGTATGAGTATTGTAGGAGACAGTATTACCATCGGTAAGGTGCCCCAAACCGCCTCACATCTGAACAGGAGATGTAGAATTGGTTAGGAGAGTCCAAAAAAGTTTAAAGTCGATGAGGACAAATGACTGGACTGCCGAGAGATCATGCTCAATCTCTTCTAAAAATCACTCACCCATTTTTTTTTTGTTATTTTTCTTTTGACTTTGCTGGTACTATCTAATCTAGTCCCCAGCATTTTCCTTGATAGACACCCTTTATTATTGTTGAAACAAAACTTGATTCTTTACTTGTCAACTGACTACCTTTAGGTCGTCCTTTAGGAGTGAGATTACTCTGTGGCCCTTCAGTATACTTAATTGCATCCTCTCCGTTCCCTATACTGTGCTTAGTGCAGTGGCCATTACAGCTCCTTCAGGTTGGTTCTAGCTGAAGAACTGTGTGCTTGGTTTATGTCCTTTAAGTAGAAGAGAATGAAGTAGATCTACGTAGATTCTCAGCACCAAACAATAGTTTAAAGCAGTGAAACTTGTCAGACTCCTTAGTGTTACATGTGAGGAAAATGAAACTCAGATTCTGACCTACAGAAATTAATGGCAGAATTGTAAGTAGAACTAACGGTTCCTGGTCTCACACAGGGAGATGTGATTATATATTTGGCTCTTACCCAAACATTTATAGTTACGATAAAGCAACTTCATCTGTATAATTTATAGAGAAATGAAAAAACTAAATGTGTCTGGATAATTTAAAAATCTTATTCTAGTCGATAATTTGATGTGGTAAAGAATCTAATGCAAGAGACGTGGGTTTGATCCCTGAGTCGGGAAGATCTTCTAGAAAAGGACATGGCTACCCACTCTAATATTCTTGCTTGGGAAATCCCATGGACAGAGGAGCCAGGTGGGCTACAGTTCATGGGGTTACAAAAGAGTTGGACACAACTTAGTAACTAGACAACAAGAAAACCTGTATGTAAAAATAAATGAAGGATGCATATAAATTCTCCTTTTCAGAATGTTCATTGACATATTCTTCCAATTTCCAAATATTCAAGGTAGCTTTTAATTTAAAAATTTCAATTTTAAATGGTATGTGTCTACTACGTTAAGGAATTTGCCTTTGCCATTTAGTTCTTAAGTCTTTTGTAATTGAATAATGAAATAGAAGTGCTTGTTTTAAGAGAAATAAAAATAAATGCAGTCCCTTAGTAAATGACCTTTATCAAAATAGTTATTGCTAAATTTTATGTTTTGTGTTTGTTACCACAATCAAACATAGTTTTTGTAAAAGATAGACTATTTGTGTCATAAATGATACCATATTTTACAGAACCATGTTATATATCTGATAATCTAAATAATAATAGGAAATTTTCACCCAGTATATCCACTTGCCATCTATTTTTCAAATCCTTCTTTTTATGAATATTTGCATTTGAATATATCGATTCATAATATATATTTATTGTAATATATACTTAATGTAAAGAGAAATACAGAAGTGCATAAGGAAGAAGAAAATCACTCAATATTTTTAAAAAGGTTGCTGCTAGTCGTTGAGGAGGAACAGAGCATAGGAAAGAGCTTGCTGCCTCAACTGGAATCTCTGTTCTACCACTTACTGACTAACGAACAAATTTATGAAACTCATTTCTTCAGGTTATGCTTCTGTAAAATGGGGTTAATAATATTAACAACCTGATAAGGTTCTTGTGAAAATTAAATAAGTTGATATATGTAAAGTGCCCTGACATATTAAGTGCTGTATGTTGTTTCGTTGTTAAAGCCATAATAGTTTTGTTCTTTAATGGCTGAGTTAAGTTTTTAGCCAAGCCTGAAAAAAAAATTTGAGAACTAATAAAATAAAATTAATAATTTTGCAGGGAATTTATCTCAGTGTTCCATATACATTTACTTACTTATTAGTATATTTGTATGCTTATTTTTACAAATAAAACTGAAACAGATAAAGTGACCGAACTTTACAATTACCATAATAATTGAATATGTTGCGTTAAATTCTTTTGGCATTTAGGGTGGGGGATGGAGAGTGAAGATTGGTGGAAATGGAGAGACATTAATATGTTATTAAGAGTGAAATTTAATTTGCTTCACTTGTCTATATGAAGTGTCTTGGGTAGAGCTAAGACTGGAAAATAGGGCCCTCTGAATCCTTAGAAACTACACCAAATCTGTTAAAAAGTATCAGTTACATTGATAATGGAGTTACCTCTCAGTCACAAATGCTAGTGAGGAAGAGACAGAGGACACATAATTAAATAACAGGTAATTATATTTTTCCGTGTTGAAATACCTTGTAATTGATAGAAGCCTGTTTGTATTGTAAAGGTGTACATAAACACTGATATACATTTCTATAACATGTAGGCAGGTGGAGATGAGCAGTGGATTTCATGGCAATATGGAATATTGGCCTGGTGGGTAAACCACATTTGAGCTAAAATGATAATTGTAACTTAGTCCTTGAAATTCTTTATAGCCAGTGACTTGAAACAGATTTCCAACTGGAGCTGTTTTTTTCCCCTAAGTTAGTTTCAAAATTTGAGACTATGGCTATAAAATCAAGTTGAAAATCTTTTGTTAAAAGAGCAAAATTGTTTTAAAAGTTAACAACATGATGCATTATCTTAAAAATATCACCTGCTCTAGAACTCTTTCTCATGCATTGTTTCTTATTAAGCCTTCACAACTTTGCAGTAGGAATAATACTAGCCTGTTATATTTTTTCTTTGCAGATGAGGAAACAGGCTTAGCTGAGTTCTTTGCGAAAGTTTAAAGGTTAAAACTTAGCATTAAGTGACAGTTGGGAAGAATACAGAGTATTTAACTTAATATTGCCACAGCAGCACTGTCTCAAAAATAAATTATCGTAATGCAGCTTGGCGTAAAAGGGGTCGTGCAAGTGTTACAGACCACTGTTGTGCAGAATAGACATTCCTTAAAGATTCTAAATTCACAGAGTCAGAATCCCGCAGTTGAAGATTTCCAGGAGATCATTTTGGCTTTTGTTCAGATGTTTTTGATTGCAACCCCTAAGATATGTTTTACTTCTGTGCATATTTGCCTGTATGTATAATTGAAACAGAAATTTCACAGAATAGTAGATGCTAGTACTGTATAATGCATTCTGATTTTTTTCACTAATTTGGTTTGCATTCAATGGATTGAGCTACCCACTAATGAATTGCAGTTGGCAGCTTGAAAAACATTGACCTAGGGCAGCTGACCTGAATCTTGAATTGATGAGACTATTTTTTATAGACATATTAGAATGTCCAAAATAGTGATGCTATCTAAACTAATTACTTTAGGACTGACTATAGTATACTTACTCTGATGATATTTGCATTGCTCAAAACCATTTTAAAGATTCTCGTTGTGTAGTTGCAAAAATCTGAATACCCTTAATAAATATATTCTATTTTGGCAAATTTAAAATCACTTTGGCAAATAAGATGGATGATCAGTCAGGCATGCTGTTAGTAAATTTCATATACATAAGACAAATTGCAATGTAAATGTTTCACATTAGAATATGGTGTTGATTTTGTGATTAATTTCATAATAACTGAGAGCAATCACTATTATTTGTTAGATACAAAAGGCATTTGGTAAAGATTTATAGTAGAAGAAATGTTGAAACCAGGATTTGTAAACTGTTAGTAAGAAGTTAAGAGTAAGGATATCAGCAAATATATGCCTCATTTCCTTTAAAAAAGTGAATATAAAATGTTTCTAATCCATTAAAATGGTAATTTATACTAAAGTATTATTAAGAGACCATAAACTGCTTCCTTAAATGTATTTTTCTTGATTGAAATTGTTTTTTATGATTTAATAGATAGACTTAATTCTTGAGTTTCTATTCTAATAAAGAATTACGAGTCAACAGTTTTAAGTCAACTTCTGTATGCCTTTGTTTCTCCTGAAATAATTTGAGGCATTTTTGCTATCTTGACTTCTTTCCCCATGTCCTAATCTTACAACCCAGGTTTGTTATATACATAATTAACAGGAAATCTAATTCTGATTTCATTTCAAATCATTAGTTAGAAAGTAACCCTTTTAGAATTCTACACCAGTTTCTTTTCTATCCTATTTTTTTTCCATTATCTGTGACACTAAATCTTTGCCTTTACTGGCTTTTTACCAGTTTGCTTCCTGTTTCAATTTAAAATATATCAAAAGCATTATCTTTTATTTGCTCCTACCCCTACACTTTATTTTGTTTTCATCCTAATACTGGCTTTCATCTTCTTTCCACTTGTTCCACTCACTAGCTAGAGATGATCGCTATGGAAAATCCTGCAGACCTGAAGAAACAGTTGTATGTGGAATTTGAAGGAGAACAAGGAGTTGATGAGGGCGGTGTTTCCAAAGAATTTTTTCAGCTGGTTGTGGAGGAAATCTTCAATCCAGATATTGGTAAATATTTTAGTGATGTGATCATGCTGTCATATCTTTTTGAATTAAGAATTTATTTACCTAGGTTTACAAATATTTTCAATTATGAAGAGCAACAGAAGATTTTGGTATGAGTTAACTAGAATCACAGATAATGACTGAATTTGTGGGCTTTTGGGATTGATCCTGCATCACTCATTCATTCAAGTTCTTATTTAGATTACTTAGCAAAATATTTTAATATGGGAAATTATCTCTTAGGTAAAAGAAATTGAAGGCATTTTAGAATGATACATTAAAACAGTTGAAGAAATGTTTTGCTCTTTTTCAATCTAAAATGCTCACCACCCATAGCATTTCTGAGATAAGAGTTTCATAGAATAATGGTCTGAAGACTGTTGAGAATGTCTCACAAGTGTATCATGCTCAAAATTTGGGTGTACTGATTGATAGCAAATTAATTTGGTTTACTTCCTACAGCATTTTTTAGGCTTAATATTATAATATTTTCTCACACTTTTTGGACTCCAGAACCCTTTTTCCATCCCACATCTAGTAGCTTTTGCTTTCCAGAAGAGTTTTCATTGAACACGATTTGGGAGAGATAGATCTATAAATGTCAGTCTGAAAGTGAAGAATTTGGGTTTCACTGATAGACAAAATAATGAGAGTTGGCAGAGTAGAACAGGAAAAAGACAACAGCTTCCTGGATAGTATATCTTGGATAATTCTGATTTGATTTAATTTCTACAGTATAAACCTTGGTTACTGGGGTTGCTTACTTTTAAAATCGAATGCATGACAATTAGAGGAAAAGAAGTCCTCTAAAGATACCATCACAATTGTGAAGAACGTGGCATAGAATAATGCACATCATTTCTGTTGACTCTCAGTCTGTACACTGAATTGACTTTTCTGTATTTGTTGTTAGTCTGCTTATAAATGGAAGTAGACATTTTGACTTCATGACATAAACATAGTTAAGGTAAGACTTAGTATTTTAGCTAATGTTTTTTAATAATCTGAAGATTATGTCATTTATATATAATTTGCTCAAAGTAAACTTAGATGTATAAATTGGTGCTGTTTTTGAGATAGAAAATTAATATTAAACTTCATTAAAAACCATGGTGTTTTTGAGATAGAAAATTAATTTAAAAGCTTCATATCTTTGGTGAACTTTAGCTCTAGGTCTTTATGTATCTAAAAATGTTAAACCTTAGTTATAAAGTATATTTACATTATATGCAGAAATACTTTTAAGAAAAAAACATACATTAAACAATTGTGCTTGAGAGTGAAGCAATTAAAATGTAAGGAACATTTTAGAAGAGCCACCCTTTATATGGAGCTTTTCTCGTAGGGACCTGAAGATAAATGTACCACAAATGGAATCTGTTGGACTTTGAAGATTATCATCTTTCAAGCCCAAAGATGAGAGTAGGGACCTGTGTAATTTACATTCTCATTAATTTATAGTTTATAGCTTTTGAGTCCAAGCACATACATTTGTGATATTTCTTCAGATTTATTAACTACAATTATTTTTAACTATTCTAGTCCAGTTAATACCATATTTATAATTAAGTGAAGTTTTTAGCACTTCACTAGATTTTATAATTTTTGCCTGTAAAAAAAAGTTGGATATAAACTGAGATTCAAGTATAAATTAGGTAATTTATAAAATTTTATTTTGTGAACATTAAGGTGCATTAGAAAAATGTCTTAAATTCATGTTCTTAGGATCAAGGGGACCCTTTAAATTTCCCTTTATATTTAATTTCAACTAAATGAAAATGTAGAAACATTTTTAAAGCTTTTTAAAAAACTTAAAAACTGCTTGATTTCTTAAAAAAAATGTTGATTTCTAAAGTTTATTCTATTGGAACTTCCCCCTCTTTCGTAGATTTAATTCTTAAAATATTTTCATTTAGTTTCACAGTAGCAACTGAAAAACATTTTATAGTAAAATGAAATTGTTAATTCAATTAAAATATCATTTAACCTTTATCATAGATATTTCTTTACAAGCAAGGAATGAGATAAGTCTGCCATGGTAATGGCATGATTCCTATTTTTATTTTAAATGAGTGATATAAATAGTGAAGACCATGTGAAATTGAAAGAAGACTACAAATTAGTTTTGTTTTACTTTTTGACTCACAGTTAACGTGTGTATTAAATGGCTTTTGGACATAATCTTAAGTTTATCAGGTTTGCCTGAGTTTAAGTACTTGGCATCTTTGTTTAAAAGGTGCTTGAAAAGCTTCGTGGAACCATTATGCAATTTGCAAGAATAAAGATTTTTTGCTATGAAATTCAAAATTGTTTTTTAAAACAGTACATATGGATTAAATGTTTTAATAAGTGAAACATTTTCAAAATATTCTTTTTTTCTTTTGCATTTTTCAACCATTCAGTGGCGAAAATATGAATGCAAGTTAATTTCTGATTTGTGTTAATAGAAGATTAGAGAACTTGAATTTAATGAACAGTTTTCCTAATTTATAAAATGCCAGCAGAGTGGCTTATTACTTTAAATACATGCTACACAATTTGTAGCATTCATGTGTATTTGAACTTGGTTTTCTCAAGTCCTGATGTAACAGAAAAAAGCCCTAATGCAAAATATAATTATTTTATATATGTTTTTGTATTTTATATGTATAATTATTTGTTCATCTGTCTAATATAATATGAAAGTAATGCATTTAAAAAAATCATTTCTTACAGGTATGTTCACATATGATGAATCTACAAAGTTGTTTTGGTTTAATCCCTCCTCTTTTGAAACTGAGGGTCAGTTCACTCTGATTGGCATAGTACTGGGTTTGGCTATTTACAATAACTGTATACTGGATGTACATTTTCCCATGGTTGTCTACAGGAAGCTAATGGGGAAAAAAGGAACTTTTCTTGACTTGGGAGACTCTCATCCTGTAAGTCTTGTCATTTTTTATTCTTTTAAATTTTATTTAAAAGCAAATATAGAACTTAATTTATATAAAATTTTTAAAGCTTTGATTTGAAATCTTTGTTAATATTTATACCTAGTAAGATAAACTCGTTTTATTATCTATCTGAAATGCCATAAACACTTAAAAACTTGAAGGAGAACTTGTTACAAGCAAGTCAGCTTTGCAGAGGCAAGGTTGATTCTGTAGAAAAGTGTTTCCAATTTTTTTTTAATGGAATCATGAGATTGTTGGGTTAAGTCAGAGCTGTCCTTAGTCAGGGGCTCTGATGTCTGCAGCCAGCCCCTCCTTACCCTTGAGATGCCTCTAAGGGTCTCGTTAGAGACAGCGTGAGACCCATAGCTAAGCAGCTGGTGTGGGGTTTCTCAGCAGAGGTAGGCGTTACCAGTGACTGAAGAAACTGCTAGAAGAGGGGTAATGTTTGTGCTTTAATTCTTACTGTTAGTTTGTTTTTTTAATCTTTTGCCCAAGAAGAGTGATACAAATTGTTGTATTTTATAGTTCTGTGGTAGCCTCAATTTTTCCATTTCTGATTGGTAGGTTCTATATCAGAGTTTAAAAGACTTACTGGAGTATGAAGGGAATGTGGAAGACGATATGATGATCACTTTCCAGATATCTCAGACAGATCTTTTTGGTAATCCGATGATGTATGATCTAAAGGAAAATGGTGATAAAATTCCAATTACCAATGAAAACAGAAAGGTAATAAATGTTTTTATGTCATCCTTGTCTTTGTCTCTTTAATAACAGAATTTTTAAGCATATATGTGTGCATTTGTGCATGCACTGCTTCAAGTTGTGTCCCACTCTGTGCGGTCCTATGGACTGTAGCCTGCCAGGCTCCTCTTTCCTTTGGATTCTCCAGGCAAGAATACTGGAGTGGGTTGCCATGCCCTCCTCCAGGGAAAGCACATATGCTTGTACTTTTTAAAGAAGTTTCTAATGTCATCTGTACAAAGAAATCAAGTAACTAAGTTCTTATAAATGAAATAGCCACAGTTCTTTAAACCTTGACTGAAGGCTGGTATGAGAGCACGTGGTTGGACACTGAACCCCTCCTAAAGAAAGAGGCCCCGAGTGGGAGATGGTGCCTGTCTCGGTGTGGCTGTGGTGTGAAGCAGGAAGAAGGCTGTCTCTCATATGAGGCTGTAAGGGGGTAGAAACTAGGGAAGGTCCTTATAACCAAATGGTCAATAATTGCTTCTAATGTACACACAAATATACGTGCCTTAAATAAATATCTGAAAAGTACTGAAGAATAAATATTTTAAAGAAATCAGCTTTGTGTTTTCTGTTGATTAGAAAAGTATGCCTCTGGAAACGGGGGACTAACTCAGAATACAACCCAGGGGAATTATGATATATATAAAAGCTTTAAAAAGAATGTTTATATTAATACAATTTTTGAAAAAATATATTAATTAATTTGGGATGCAGAGTATATCTTCCATTTTTTATTTGGTACAATAGCTTGCTCACCAAGTGAAACACCGATATTTTTGTTGAAACAGAGAACAGTAGGTAGCTTCCCAAATATTCTAGAATAGGAAACATGAAAGACTTCCTTGTTTGCTCATTTCCAGTACATTGCACTCTATTAAAAATGTTAGCGTTTATAAATTGATGTATAAATGGTTTAAATGTTTTTGCGTTTGCATGACCTAATTGAGAGAACTTTAAAATTGTATCAAGGCCCAGCTTTTATATTTAGTTTTGTTTAATATAGAAGTTGAAACTTATATGTATGTGGCCTCTTTGGTGGCTCAGAGTGTAAAGAATCTGCCTGCAGTGTGGGAGACCTGGGTTCAGTCCCTGGGTCAGGAAGATCCCTTGTAGAAGGGAATGGTGACACACTCCAGTATTCCTGCCTGGAGAATCCCATGGACAGAGGAGCCTGGCCAGGTACAGTCCATGGGATCACAAAGAGTTAAACATGAATGAGTGACTAACACATTGTCTGTTATAGAGAGCTGTGAAGTTGTTAAAGGTATTTTCCTTTGTGTGTGTAAACTTTGAATTCTTAAAAATATTCTTGATTGTGTTTTCTTTGGGAAAATAAAAACATTGTGCAGTCCAGTAGCTTGTATTTTGTTGTATTACGCATCATAAGACATTCTTGTGGTTAATGTTTTCTGCAGGAATTTGTCAATCTGTATTCTGACTACATTCTCAATAAATCGGTAGAAAAACAATTCAAGGCTTTTCGGAGAGGTTTTCATATGGTGACCAATGAATCTCCTTTAAAGTACTTATTCAGACCAGAGGAAATTGAATTGCTTATATGTGGAAGCCGGGTAAGAAAGCAAGGGTTTCCAGAAATATCTTCTGTTGATCTATTGTTTGTAATGGTGTGGTGTAGATGTTAAGACGTGTTTTCTTGAATTTGCAGAATCTAGATTTCCAAGCACTAGAAGAAACTACAGAATATGACGGTGGCTATACCAGGGACTCTGTTGTGATTAGGTGAGGTTCTTAATTCTTAAAAGGAAGAATTAAAATTCACCAAAGGGGTGTAGGCTTTATGCTTTAGACCTTTGCCTCCAGGTTTTATTTCTCAAATAAGCAAACTCACAAATTCTCAATGTATAAAATTAAAAGTGTATTTGTAATATAATCACCAGTTCTTATTGCTAATCTTGTGATTTATTTCCTGAATAATGTTTTATGTAAGGGGCATGTTTTCTTCTGCACTGGGGTATAAAGTGTCTAATATTCCTAGTAATTCTGTTGCAGTGCGCTTAGTGACAGATGATGATGAAGATAGAACTGCCTCTTCTGAATACTTCTCCTTTCTTTTGAACTCTGGGGAATGTTACTTACCTACCCTGTATGAGGCACCTTTTGTGTGAAATGGTATATTATTTGATTTAATCCTTATTACATAGCAAGGTGCATACTAGAATTTGTATTTTAATTTGAAGACCTTGGCTCCTATTTACTCCTAGGAAGGAGAGATTCCTAGTCTTAACTGTTCTCAGGGAGTTGGCTCCTGCTATGTACCATCTGCTTCTCTTTGCTACTGTCCAGTCCTGAGAGACACGGGCTTCTTCCTCTCCTGCTGAGATGGGGTAAAAAGGGACAAATGCCCTTTTGGCTGTCACTGGTAGAGTGAGGTGAGGAAGCATTCCTGGAGGTTGTCTCTGAAGGTTATCATTCTAAGACTCAAGTATAGGAAGTCTATAATGAGTATCACTTGTATCAAGAAATGAATATTTTATGTTCTATTATGTCCCTTTGTTTTATTTTTCACTTTGGTTTGTGTGAAGTTATTGATATTTTCTCCCTTTAGCATACCTTTGGTCATTCCTAGTGGCAGTGGTGAAATTATTTACTTTTAGCAGTTACTGTTCTGCTATTTACTTGAAGTTCAAAGGTGACTATAAAAGAGTTGGAATAGCATGGATAACAACAGCAAAGGGTAACCTCACTTGTGAGTCACAGTATTATCACAGCACTATACCTGTTAGTGATATTATTGATCACAGATAGTTACGACTTTGTGGTATCTTATGTTTCTCTGAGAATAGTTGAAGGTATCTTGTGCTGCTCTTTATGGAGAAACTACTTTTTAAGTTAAGGTCTTAATTTTATTTCTTTTAGAATAACATAATTCCTACTTGAGATATTATCTTAACATCGTATGTCAATGTTTCTTAAATGTTATTGAATTATAGTTGATGTGCAGTGTTGTGTTAGTTTCAGGTATACAGCATGTTGTGTTTTTGCAGATTATATTTCATTATATGTTATTATAAGATTCCATATAATTCCCTGTGCAGTACAGTAAATCCTTGTTGCTTATCTAGTTTACTTGTAGTTGTTTGTAGATAATCCCATACTCCTAATTTGGCTCCCCTTCCCTATCCTTCCACCATTATATAAGGTCTCTCTTTATGTCTTGTAATTTTCTTTGCTCTGAATATGATATGATGTAACCGTTACTGATTTGTTGTGCTTTGCTCTTTGTTTGCGTGATATATCTTTTTCTTATTCCTTTCAACCTATCAATGTTCTGAATTTGAAATGAGTTTCTTACGAATAGCTGAGTCATATTTTTTTAATCTACTCTGTCAGTCTTTGCCTTTAATTGTTGTGTTTGGACCATTTGTATTCAGGGTAATTATTGATATGGTAGGACTCAAGTCTGCTATCTGTTTTCTGTTTCTTTGCTCGTCATGGTTCCTTGTTGTCTTTTTGCCTTTTGTGGGTTACTTAGTTACTTGAACATTTTTAAGGGTTTCTTCTTGATTTTGGTGTTCTGTTTTTGTGTGTGTTGCTTAGTATAGTGTTCTTCATGGTTGCTGTTGGTATTTGTATCAACATTTCTTCCAGTGAGGTATGGAAACGTTGTTTCCATTTGAGTCTGTTACTTTCCCCACATTTAAATACAATTGTCTTGAGTATCAGTGATGTTGTAATTTTTCTATCAGTCATCAAATCCAATTTATAAAATTCATGAGGAGAATTATAGTCTGTTGTATGTCCCTTCGTTTCTGCTCTTTCTGTTCCATCTGCCTCAGAATCCATCTTTTATCACTTCCTTTAGTTAGTATTCAAAGGCAGATCTGCTAATGACTAATTCTTTTAGTTTTCCTTTGTCAGAGGGTGATTTCCACTTTATTTCTGAACAGTTTTGTTTATACTGTTTGAAGTTTCTTCCTAAATCTGTATGCTTCTGTCTTTTTTCAAACTTGGACTGTTCCTAGCCATTATTTCTTGAAATTCTCTTTCAGTCCCACTCTCTTTCATTCTTTCTATGCCTCTAATGATACCAGTGCTCAGTCATCTGTCACTGTTCCGTGTGTACCTAGGCTCTTAGTTTCTTCAGTCTGTTTTCTCTCTTGCTCAGGTTTTGATCCTCAGTCATCTTGACTCTACTATTGAATCCATCTAGTATTTTTCTCTTACTGTGTTTTTCAGTTCTGTAGTTTGCATTTGGCTCTTTTTTTAATTGTAACTTAAATATTTTGCTAAGACTTAAGTTGCTGGTGTTTCAGTTTTGAAACACTAGCACTTATAATTGCTTATAGAATAATTTTTATGATTACCTCATTAAAATCCTTGTCAGTTGCAGTATGTTATTCATCCCAGTGTTTGACATTGGTTGATTTTCTTTCTTTCATGTGATTTTCATAGTTCTCGGCTTGACAGGTGATTTTGGATTGTATGCTGGATATTTTGGCTGTTTTATTAGGAGACCCCAGGTCCTATTTACATCTTTTACTTTAGTAGTAAAAAATGAATGGGTCAATACTGTCCTGTGGTGTAGATAGACACAGTAGTTATTTCCAGCTCTTTGTTATTGGAGGTCACAGTGAATTATTTCAGTAACGAATTATTCCATACATAACATCAAACATCATCAAATTGGGAATTGCTGCTAAAAGTGGGATTGTTGAACTAAATAGTAGATATGTATGTAGTTTTGCTAAATATTGCCAAATTCTCCACAGAAATTGTGACATTTTGCACTCCCAGTGGTAATATACATGCATATCTCCTTTCCTACAATTTTCCAAACCAAGTGTTGTTCATTTCAGCTGTTTGCCTGTTAATTGAGGAATGGCATTGTGACATAGACAGTGTCACAATTTCTGTGAAGAATTTGGCAGTTTTAGCAGAAGCTTTAACTCGGGCCACTTTTGTCAGCTGCTTTCATCCATGTGCAGCCGGAAGCTGATCTCAAGGGACGCTTCTGTCTCCCAGGGTGCCTCCTGCCCCCGTCAGGCACGATGTCATTGTGACATTGCCGTTTTGGTCCAACAGGCTGTCCTGTCACCAGTGCTCTCACCTGCCCTTTTGGGGTGACCCTCGGCCCATGTTGTTCTGCATACCCCACTTTTCCACACAGCTCTTCCTGTACTCTGCTAGTATGGGCTCAGGTGTATATAAACAGTTTTAACGTAGAACACAACGCTTAATAGGAAGAGAAGAATTTTTCTCCGTATTTTCATTATAAAAACTGATAGTAACCCTAACGTTTTAAGTTCTAATTTTTTAGAAAGAGCCAAAGGAACAGCTGACTTTGTCTCGACAACCACTGCTGGTCTGCTACTTCCTTTAGGATCTGCCTCCTCTATTCAAGGGCACCTGTTGGTCTGCCTCTTCAGATGTGACTGATTCATTTAGGCTTTAGAACACTCCTGAGGAGTGAGGAGGTTTTTTGGCCCTGACAGGGCTCTGGGTTACTGCATACTTGCTTTTCCTTGCCAGCCACCCAAAAAGGAATAACCTAAACTGTGGTGTGGTTTGTTTCCTTCCTAACGGAGAGGTGTGCTTGTCTGTTCCATGTTCAGGTTCCTGTTGTATTTTCTTTTTAAGTTGTTTTCTCTAGATGGGTGGGAGGTTTGGGGAGGATATTAGAATGTCAGGGAAGAGAAATGGCAAGACTTTGGAGAGAGCCAAGAATTCTAATAAAGCTGCTAATCTATGTTAGAAATAGTGGCATTGCACCAACAGAAATACCAACATTTTGGTAAGAGAAATTGTATACTGGAATACTAGGGTATCAAAAACTAGAATTGTAACTGTGTGTAGGACGTGTGACATTTTCTGTCAAGATTCTGGAAAGCACTTTCAAATAAATATTAAAATGCATTCCTCAGAAAACTACTAGAGTTCATCAGTGAATTTGGTAAAGTTGCAGGATACAAAATTAATATACAAAAATCTTTTGCATTGTTATATAATGAAATACAATGAAAGACAAGAAAGACAAATTAATGAAATAATCACTTTTACTGTTGCATCAGAAAGAGTAACATGCCTAGTACTAAACCTATCTAAGGAAACACCTATACTCTAAAAACTGTAAGATCCTGATGAAAGAAATTGAAGATGACACAAACAGGTAGGAATACTACATTCTTAGACTGAAAGATTCAGTGTTGTCAAAATAACTATATTACCCAAGGTAATCTACAGATTCGATTCAGTCCTGCCTATCAGATTACTAGCAGCATTTTTCACAGAACTAGAACGAAAGTTTTTAACTTTGTATTGGAGAAACAGACCCTGAATAGCCAAAGTGGTCCTGAGAAACAAAACTGCAGCTGAAAGAATCAGTCTTCCTGATCTCAGACTCCAAAGCTTTAGTAATCAAAATAGTTGGTATTGGGACAGAAACAGAAATACAGGTCAGTGAAACAGAAAGCCCAGAGACAGACACCTGCGGTCAGTTAATCTGTGTCAGAGGGACAGGAGTGTAGTACAGAAAAGACGATCTTGTCAATAAGTGTTACTGGGAGAATGGGACAGCTACATGTAAAAGAATGAAATTAGAATATTCTGTAACTATACACAAAAATAAACTCAAAGTAGATTAAAGACTTAAGATATGTACTATAAAAATCTTAGAGGAAAACATAAGCAGGACACTCTTTGACATAACTTTCATCAATATCTTTTTGAGATAATGAAAATAAAACCAAAAAGAAGCAAATGAGACCTAATTTAAAAAAAAAAAAAAGCTTTCCCCAGCAAAGGAAACCATAAGCAAAACAAAAAGACAACCCACATAATGGGAGAAAATATTTGCAAATAGAAAAGACTAATAAAGAATTAATCCAAAATATCTAAACAGCTCTTGCAGCTCAATATCAAAAAAGCAGCCTGATCAGAAAATGGACAGAACCTGAATAGACATTTCTTCAGAGAAGACATATAGATGGGCAAAAATCACATGACTTTTAGTCAACATCACTAATTATTAGAGAAGTGCAAATCGGAACCATAATGAGGTATCACATCACACGGATTAGAATGGCAATCATCAAAAAATCTACAAAAGACAAATGCTAGTGTGTGGAGAAAAAGGAACTCTCCTACACTGCTGATAGGAATGTAAATAGTTATAGCCCCTATGGAAGACAGTATGGAGGTTCCTTAAAAAACTCAAAGTAGAGCTGCCATATGATCCAGCAATCACACTCCTGGGCATAAATCCAGAGATAACCATAATTCAAAAGGATGTGTGCACCACGGTATTCTTGGCAGCACTATTTACAATAGCCAAGAAATGTCCATTGAGAGAGGAAATGGATAAAGAAGATACGATACACACACACACACACAAGAATATTACTCAACCATAAAAAGGATGAAATGATGTCATTTGCAGCAACATGGATGGACCTGGAGATGATCACACTTAAGTAAATCAGAGAAAGATACATCATATATCATTTATATATGGAATCTAAAAAAGAAAATGATACAAATGAACTTATTTACCATACAGAAACATACCAACTGAAACAAGCTTAATGGTTACCAAAGGGGAAAGGTGGGGAAGGGATAATTCAGGAATTTGGGATTAACATACACACACTGTGTATTAAAGAGAGAATCAACAGGGACCTACCATAAGACACAGGGAACTCCACTCAGTATTTCATAGTATCATGAGAAAAGAATCTGAGAAAGGATGGAGATATGCGTATGTATACCTGAAACTGTATATGTTAAATTTATGGATACTTTATTATTGAAAGTATAGATTTCAATTGCTCTTTTTCAAGATTGCTCTTAATGAACTTGCATTTTGTTTTTAGAGTAAATTTAACAAGCATCATTATAATGTGACTTCTATTACATAGGTTATAGGAATGCCAGGGATTAAATTATTCTCAATATAGTTGCATATGATACATATATCAGAATAACCCCCAGATCCCCTTCCACAGCACACATACTATTGATAAAAGTATTCTAGTTTATATAAAAATTGTGTACTTCTGTATGAGTATTTTTAGGTATTTTCCTTTGTTCCTACACTGTATCTGATCTCCCCTTGAAGTTGCATAAGGCATGAGTAGACAAAGGACATAGCTGTCATCTTCAGTTCACAGGATTTTGGTTTTGCCTTATGTCTTTTGTTTCTTACTAACTATATATTTACAGTTGATGTAATTGTTTCCTTTTGTTGTTGCCAGTTTTTACTGTTGCAGATAATGTAGCGATGAACAGAAGCTTTTTTATAGTTTTGAAAATAGTTTTCTTAAATTTGCATGAGTGGAAGTCCTAGGTCCTAGATCCCCAGAAAAGAACCTTCAGGCCCTTGATATTGACCTCCAAGTTATCTCCTATTATGGTTTTAATGCAAATCACAAACTTAAATTAGTGCTAGCAATAATGAATGCTAAACTAAAATTGGTATTTTATCTTTTCTCAGGGAGTTCTGGGAAATTGTTCATTCATTTACAGATGAGCAGAAAAGACTCTTCTTGCAGTTTACAACAGGCACAGACAGGGCACCTGTGGGCGGACTAGGAAAATTGAAGATGATAATAGCCAAAAATGGTCCAGACACAGAAAGGTAATTATTAAATTGTGACTATATACTGAAAACCTTGGCTTCCATATTATTACATATGTGTGATCTATCCAGAAGCTTCTGAGCACATTTGCAGTTTTTAATAGAAATTTCTAAATCACATAAAATGTTAGTTTAGCCAGTACTTTGCTGTTAATGTTCAAGAGAAATTTTAAACACTGGGCAGGTTAAAAATTACAGAGTTCACTTGATTTGAAATTTTACAAATTGGTATGATTTTTACAGTTTTTGATTGAGAATTTTTTAATTGAAAGCCACATTATGTCATCTATTTAGAATAGTCAAGTTGAAGTTCACAAGATTGTTCAGCCCTAGATTATGCTAGAACCACCAATTTCAGTGTCCTTATATTAATCATGTTTCCTCTATTGTGCAAGTTAACATTTGGTGTGTAGTGGCCATATGTGAGCAGTAGTATATTTAATAATTTAAATGTATAGAAACATTTCTTCTAGTATTCTACATTATTTAATATTATTTAGTATTATCTATATTATTTGATATTAATGTAAATTTATTTATTATCAAATCAATTACATAGTCATCCGGGAGTATTTCAAATAAGCAAGGCCCAGATTGAAATTTTGAAACTGAGATCAATGTTACTATTGATTTCAACTCTACAGTGGGGAAACTGACAGTCTGTAGGGTTATTGTGAGAAAATTTAGTTAAATGAGCTCTCAGGATTAAGAACCTATTAAAACAGTATCTAGTATGTGGTAATAACTTCGTGGATGTAATATGTTATCATCAACCATCATTGTTATTAGCACTGAGTAATTTATGAGGTAAAGACAAACTGCTGTTTGGTAGCTGTATGGCAAAATCATGAAGTTTATCTTTATGACTTGCATTAATGTGTAGTGTGCTTTGCAAGCCATCTCAACGTATGTACCATCTAAAGTAGGATCATTTAGTACTGAGCATATTTCCCATGACTTATTTTCCTGTTTTTTTTCCCCTTTCTCTCTATATAGGTTACCTACATCTCATACTTGCTTTAATGTCCTTTTACTTCCGGAATATTCAAGCAAAGAAAAACTTAAAGAGAGATTGTTGAAGGCCATCACTTATGCCAAAGGATTTGGCATGCTGTAAAAAAAATTAAAAATGGGAAGAAAAAGAAAAAAAAGAAAAAGAAATTTAAAATTTTAATAAGTATAACAAGAGGGATAAAATTGGTGGTGATAGTGTCCCAGTACAAAAAGGCTGTTAAATAGTGAACCACAGTAGTCACCTATGTCTGTGCCTCCCTTCTTTATTGGGGATATATGGGCTGGAACAGCAGATTTCAGCTACTTATATGAACAAATCCTTTATTATTATTATTTTTTTTTTTTTTTGCGTGAAAGTGTTACTTATTCTTTCACTTGTATGTACAGAGAGGTTTTTCTGAATATTTATTTTAAGGGTTAAATCACTTTTGCTTGTGTTTATTACTGCTTGAGGTTGAGCCTTTTTGCATATTTAAAAATATATACCAACAAACTACCCTCCCAAGGAAAATATTGCCACCATTTGTAGACCATGTAACCTTCAAGTATGTGCTATTTTTTTTGTCCCTGTATCTAACTCAAATCAGGAGCTGTATTTTTTTTAAACAATTTGCTTTTGAAACTTGAAGTTTGAAAACAGTGTGATGCAATTGCTGCTGTTCTAGTCCCCAAAGAGTTTTCTGTGCAAAAATCTTAAAATCAATAAAGATGGAAGGGAGAACTTGGAATGTTTAACTGCAGCCCTCAGAACTTTACTTTAGTAACAGCACAACAAATTAAAAACAACTCATGCCACAGTATGTTGTCTTCATGTGTCTTGCAATGAACTGTTTTCAGTAGCTAATGCTCCTTCTTAGTATATGGAAGGACAGGGATTTGTTGTTGTTGTTTTAAGTTTATTGGGGAAAAGTGCATATTGGCCAAAAGAAATGATAGTCAAACCCTTTGCAAGAAAGATAAGAAGTTTGTTGTTTATTATAAGCGGAAAGCATGTGAAAGTGCACTTAACTTTTTTATCACCTCCTATCGACCACAGTTAAATAGACAATCCAGAGTCTTCCCTTCTTGTCGTCGTCAGCTTACCCAGTCAGCCGTTTTATCAAGGCACATGATCAGTGTTGGGACATAGTGAGAGAACTGCTGTTGTGCCTTGTTTACCTAATCATACAGTAATCAGAGACTTGGAAATGAATGAAACTGTTACTCTTAAGTCCTATTTACTTCATCTGTCCCCAAAGATTAAAGTTTATTTCAAAAAGTGTTAAATACTACTTTCACGTACTGTGGAAAAGTACAGGTAGATTTAAATTACTAGACATGCAGAAGTAAGTAGTTTCCCCTTTCTAGTCTTCTGTGTCTGTGATGTTTCTTTCTTTTATTGCAATATAAAATAAAAGGATCATGTATTTTTAACTGAGGAGAGACATGTTGATATATCCTTTTACTACAAGTTACAGCTAATGTGCTGAGCTTGTACCTCGATTGTTTTAACTGACCGTGACAGATTAGTTTGATGATTTGTTTGAAATTGGCAGGAAAAATACAGCTTTCAATCATTGGAAGGGGAAAGAGGATGTCTTTGAGAATTATTTTAGTTCTTTTAGTAATTGAAACTTAACTGTTATGTACCATAATGCTAAATAAAACAGTGACATTTTCACCATAATTTAGTGGAAAAAGAAAACATTGCTTTCCATATTGTGATAAGGTAACATGGGGTTTTTCTGGGCCAGCCTTGAGAACACTGTTAAAAAGTATGTACACTACCTTGATTCAAGGGACCCTCATGCTACTACAGTCACCGTAAAAGGCCTTTCATTCCTGTGCTTCTTGTGTATAATGAAAGAATACGAGAAATCAAATACTCTGGGGGCTTTTTGTATAATAAATTCGTGAAGAAATTTGTGTTCTTCAGTTCTCAAGTTTTATTATCACTACAGTATTGAAGTTATCCAATTGTAATCACATCTTTGTGAAGTTTTTGAATGGTCATGGAGTACAGATCATCAGGTATAGGATTCATATCAAAAAGACTTTTAACAAACAGTTGAAAATAAACCTACCCTTGAAAATATTTTAAGAGAAAAGTTCATTGGTTGTCCAGACTAATTGCTGTCAGTTGCTCAGTATCTGTTTGTCCTGGGCATATTACCACTTCTTTTCTCATTGCCTCCTTTCCACTACTGTCTACAAAAATTTCACTGAACAGTATCTTAAGCAAGAGGGAACAAATAGAAATTTTGACTACAGTGGTTACTCCCTCTATGCCAGATGTCGTGTTATAAAGTACTCTTTCTCCCAGATCACCAGGAAACTCTGGAGGAAATAAAAAACCGAAAACTAATGAGTTTTCCAGATGAAATACACAGTTTCTCCTACATATCATCATTATAGAATATCTCAAGCATACAATAAAGTCACAGCCTGTGACGAAACTTTACTGGGCTCTGCTTAATTGTGTGATAAAATCCAACGACAATTTCTGTAGCTTTACTTTGGGATACATACTAACTTAGGAGGGAGATACATGAAATCAAGCTTCAAACAAAACTTGCTGATGATATTCATTTCCCTATCGGTACACATCCATCTTACTAGACAGGAAGGATGACTGTAACTTGGCACCATCACTCTGTTCCTATAAGAACATGAGTGTGCTGGGATTTCAGGCCCTTTTAAGGGGTGTTCTCAAGAATTTCATGCAGACTCAGAGGAAGGATAGTCTTCCTAAGGCTACTCCATCTGTAGTCATGACCCCCTTAACCTGTTTACCTCAGGTATCTTTTATGACCTTCCACCAGCCTCTTAAGGACCATCTCTTACATTCCTGCTCCTTCCCTGAGCCAATAGAGGATTCAAAATGCACTTTCCTTCCTCTTTCCTTCTTTTACCCATAGTGTTAGTGTATGGAGAATTTCCTGGGGAGTCCAGAGAAAGAAGTGCAGAGCCTTGGTCTTTTCCTTCTTTACTGTTCATATCCAGTAGTTGGCATTCGTTAACCAATTGCAGGACGATTTTGGTGCAGATGTGCCCCTGTGAGAAATGCTTAACTTTTGCTATGCCACTAAAATAGCTCTCCTGAAAGATTCTTAGAGCCTCCTCTTGAGAAACTCTGTTGCCAGTGAGAACTCTTTAACCTTGGCGGCACCCTGAACTTGGTTCACCTGCTACCCTGTTTCTTTTTCAGTAGGGTGGATACTACTGTAATTCTAAAATTCTGACCTGTACTTGCCCAGTTCTGTCTGGTAAACCTCAACCACTCAAAAAGGTTGTTCTCCAAATCTGTGTCTTCTGCTCAGACTCTACCCCCAGAATATCTTTCTGGTATCTTAAAATCAATACACTTCAAGATGAAACTTTTGTTTCTACCTATCATTTATTGTTTGTTCCTTAAAAACATCCCTTTTGACCCAATCTTCAGAATCCCTCACCCTTCAATTGTCACAGCTTGTATCAGTTGTTTCCCCCCTCCATCATACTTCCTTTCGGCTTCTGATCCCCTAACTCACCTTGGCTAGTATTCTCCAATGTTTCTCATTCTGCTAGAACACAGTTTTGTTATTTTAAATATCTTTGCTTCAAAACTTGTTCCTCTTTGACAAAATCTGCAAGTCTGGTATCCACAGCGCTCTGTAGCACCCCCCCCCCACACACACACTTTTCCAGTTGTACCATCAGTTACAGGCATCTTTCCCTGCGTCCCCACCCACATCATCATGCTGTGCGTAATTATTTCATATTTCTCAAGTAACCTTAAAGGCCAAAACTTTAAAAGCCCCTCACCCATGAATTCATCAACCTCCAGAATGTCTCTAACCTAATAGCAACTTCCATGGTAGTACATGCACATTGAGCAATGAGGAGTCACTGGGATTTTTGTTTTTTTTCCCCATAACCATTACATGGCATGTGGCAGGCTCGTGGGGAAGATTGTTTATCTTCGTTCCTGTCCTATATAGTAGTTGTGTAATAACTTTGTTGAAAGGACAAGCGCTATTTTTCCAGTACCTTGTCAGTCACCACCTGGATGATTGAAAATGATGGCTTGCCATTCAATGAAACATCAGTTTGCACCGAAGATAGCCTCTGTCTCCTGTCTCCTCCTCATCCTACCCCCAAAAGATTTTATTTTAAAATATTTGAATATTTAGTGGCTAAAGAACTTGTTCCTGGAGGAAGTAACTGGTTCTGTCATTTCGGCCTGTGGAAAGAAAATTACTAAAAGGGAAAGGATGAAATGGACCGATTCCTGTGTGACTTCCCCAGTCCTACTTTTGGGGGTGTGCTCTGGCAGCCTGTAGCCTCTGTGTGGTCAGCCTCTGTGGCTACACTCTCCCGCTGGAGATGGGAGCAGGTGTCTTACATCGTCCTGCTGTTGCCAAACCCTCACACGTCAAGGACCTATCCTTGCTGAATGCTGTGTTTTCTATACTAAGCGAAGCACTTACCATGATGAATGCCTGGTTTGCCAGAACCTTGTAATTACTGCTACAAGTCAAGCCTTCAGTTGGGATTCTTAGATTCAGCTGGACAGGACCATAGAACAGGACTAATTATCCTGGCTATCTCGGTCTCCAGCAGCCATAGAAAATGCGATGGGCATGTGTCAGTGAACAGTGCACAGTGACTGAGGGCACAGCCTTCAGAGTTGGATCACGGTCTCAGTTCTGTCTGACTCTGCCCTTCCTTTGGCTTGGATTAGCATATTCAATATTCTTGATAACTGATGGTTATCAAGACAGTGAAGTTGAGACAAAGGTGCTACCTGTTGCAAGACAGAAGAAGGAATTCTTGCAAGGAGAGTTTGAGGATGTTTGTAATAATTTCTTTTCCTGGATTTGACCCTCATCTATCTCAAAATGCAGGAGGGGTGCTTTCTTTGATTTTTTCTTTTTAATTAGGGTAATTCATATAACAAAATTCACTCCTTTAAAGTGTACAATTAGTGGCTTTTAGAATAGTCACAAAATTGTGTGTCAAATTATATAATTCCAGAGCATCTTCACCACTGCAAAAAAGGAAAAATGCTTGTATCCATTAGAAGTGATTATCCAAGACCTAACCACTAATCTTACTTGTCTGTAGATTTCCCTATTTTGGACAGTCCATATAAATAGAATCACACACAAGGTGCATCTGTGTTGTAGCATGTATCAGTACTTCATTTTATGAATAATATTTCAGTGTATCAATATACATATTTTTATTCATTCATTTGATAGATGGTTGTGTGTTTTAACTTTTGATTATAAATACTACTGCTGTGAACACTACAGGTTTTTATGTGGACATAAGCTTTCATTGCTTTTGGTAATGTACATAGTGAATTCCTGGGTCATATGCCCAATCTTCTCAAGGAACTGCCAACTGTTTTCTGAAGTGGTTGCACTTTCTTGCAAGCATCTTGTGAATTCTAATTTCTCCACATCCTGGCCAACATTTTGAGTCTAGCCTTCCTATTGGGAGTGAAGTGGTATCTCATGGTTTTGATTTGCATTTTCCTAATGACTAATGTTCCCTTGGTATCTCTAATTTTCTTGAAGAGATCTCAAGTCTTTCCCATTCTGTTGTTTTCCTGTATTTCTTTGCATTGATCACTGAGGAAGGCTTTCTTATCTCTCCTTGCTATTCTTTGGAACTCTACATTCAAATGGGAATATCTTTCCTTTTCTCCTTTGCTTTTTGCTTCTCTTCTTTTCACAGCTATTTGTAAGGCCTCCTCAGACAACCATTTTGCCTGGAATGTGAAGTCAGGTGGGCCTTAGAAAGCAGCACTACGAACAAAGCTAGTGGAGGTGATGGAATTCCAGTTGAGCTCTTTCAAATCCTGAAAGGTAATGCTGTGAGTTACCTGTGAATGCTGTGAATCAATATGCCAGCAAATTTGGAAAACTCAGCAGTGGCCACAGGACTAGAAAAGGTCAGTTTTCATTCCAATCCCAAAGAAAGGCAATGCCTAAGAATGCTCAAACTACTGCACAATTGCACTTATCTCACATGCTAGTAAAGTAATGCTCAAAGTTCTCCAAGCCAGGCTTCAACAATACGTGAACCATGAACTTCCAGATGTTCAAGCTGGTTTTAGAAAAGGCAGAGGAACCAGAGATCAAATTGCCAACATCCACTGGATCATCAAAAAAGCAAGAGAGTCCAAAAAAAACATCCATTTCTGCTTTATTGACTATGCCAAAGCCTTTGAGTGTGTGGATCACAATAAACTGTGGAAAATTCTGAAAGAGATGGGAATACCACACCACCTGACCTGCCTCTCGAGAAACCTATATGCAGGCCAGGAAGCAACAGTTAGAACTGGACATGGAACAACAGACTGGTTCCAAATAGGAAAAGGAGTACGTCAAGGCTGTATATTGTCACCCTGCTTATTTAACTTATATGCAGAGTACATCATGAGAAATGCTGGGCTGGAAGAAGCACAAGCTGGAATCAAGATTGCCAGGAGAAAAATAAGTAACCTCAGATATGCAGATAACACCACCCTTATGGCAGAAAGTGAAGAGGAACTAAAAAGCCTCTTGATGAAAGTGAAAGAGGAGAGTGAATAAGTTGGATTAAAGCTCAACATTTGGAAAACTAAGATCATGGCATCTGGTCCCATCACTTCATGGGAAATAGATGGGGAAACAGTGGAAGCAGTGTCAGACTTTATTTTTTTTGGCTCCAAATCACTGCAGATGGTGACTGCAGCCATGAAATTAAAAGATGCTTACTGCTTGGAAGGAAAGTTATGACCAACCTAGATAGCATATTAAAAAATAGAGACATAACTTTGCCAACAAAGGTCTGTCTGGTTAAGGCTATGGTTTTTCCAGTGGTCATGTATGGATGTGAGAGTTGGACTGTGAAGAAAGCTGAGCGCTGAAGAATTGATGCTTTTGAACTG